CCACCTATAGCTAGGCACGGTCCTGATATTTTCTTGTGCTCCTCTTGACTCAGTCTTCAGAACAGAGATGTAGAGAAAACAAATGTTGCATATACAACTTAGAAATAAAGCAAAGCAGCAGGCAAGTTCAGGAGCCAAATGATTGCACAGTGACCTTGGGATTTGTACTCCACAACTTAAGGAGGTTAATAATGTTACAGAAAAATCTTACTAGAGGAAAAACAAGCACTTTTTTGGCTTATCATCCATGCTTTAAAAATAGTACTGCAAAGCAAAAGAACTAACTTCCAAATAGGAAGTTATTCCTGTGCCATAGCCTAAGAGGATCTTTTACAAGAGACTTGCGGAATTTAAGAAAAACATCTTTTTTCAAGCCTCCAATTAAACCCAAGAACAAAGGACATTTTAGGAAGGAAAAATAGTGATTAATAAAATAATGATTCCTGCCCAGGAGTGGGAATAATTTAACATGTCAGTGATGGTCTTCCATTGAATTATCCTTTAAAGAGCAGAAGCAATAAATTACCATTTTAAAGAAGTGAGCCCTCATCACACAAGTTACATCAATGGAGTTTCAGTTGTGGGTTCCCCACAGTTCCCCTGTGACCCACCATGCCAAAACACAGCTGTCAATACCGTTTAGCCACCATAGCTGGCTGCATTCTGCACCTTCAATGTAAAAAAACAAAAGGGTGTCCCTTCTCTGCCCCCAGCCCTGCAGTCCTGCTCAGAGGCTGTGACCTGACCATGGGTAAGTCACAGAAGATGCATTTGAAGAGTGTTGCCAGACACACCCTTGCAGCAGCACCCACTTGAATAATTTCAGTTCTGCAAATGAGGGCAAAATGTAATAACCCTTACAAAAGGGGGACTAAAAGGGCAAGAACAGAAACCTGTTTGGGGTGTTTGTTTATCAGAGCATTCCACTGAAAATTCGGGGGGTTAACAGACATACTTGAAGCAAATTTGAGATGATAGTGAAATACGGTGTAATAAAGATGGGCTTGAATAGTGCAGGGGAGTAAGGACAGGAGAGAAAACAGCAGCACAGCGCAGTGCCCAGCGCTTCTCTGTCTCTCCTGTCCTTACAGGAGAGAAGGACAGGAGTAAGGACAGGAGAGAGTAAGGACAGGACAGAGTAAGGAGTAAGGACAGGAGAGAAAACAGCAGCACAGCGCAGAGCCCAGCGCTTCTCTCGGACTCTGAGCTCCTTTGGAAGCAGCATGAGCTCCATCCAGAGAGCCAGGTGAGAACTGCACGTGAAGGCAGAGCCGCCTCACCCTGTTAGAAACCTTTTCTGTGAGAGTGGCTTTTACATGGTCTGGTTTAAATTCATCTTTCGATCACAGAAAGAAAGGAACGGAAGGGGACAGAGGTAAATTATTAGATGCTATCTTATTATATTGTTTTGTTACAAAAGGAATGTCAAACCTTAACTCCAAACTATACAATGACTAAAGAGATTATTCTCAGATATCACGGCTGAAAGACAATTGTTCCCTGTGTCACATGGAGTAGTAGATTCGATCCTTTTAACATCAAATTAGTTGTGTACCCTCTGAGCAACATAAAACAACAGGACAGACACAAAGAGCCACAGACGGAGTGATTAGATAGAGCTCACAAGATGCCTAAAGCAAAATTCACAAATAGTTTCTACCACAGGGTCTTTTATAAGTCCTTTGGAGGTCGATGGTTCCTTTGATTGCAAAGCGTCAGGCTGACAGCAAGGTACACAAATGTGGCCTCAGCCAAGCACAAAAGAAAGGTGGGCATCAGTCAGAAAACAGGAAGCAGAAAACACACAAAACAGTGAATATCTGAACCACAGGGAAGATTTGCAATTAATTCTCTTTCAAACCTGCCCTGTCCTTTACATTACAATGTTGTCATCTAAAGCTACAATCACCACAAGACTCTCTATGTTCATTGTCCAGACACCCAGATCCCATAGTGACCCTCTTCTACTTTCAGGAAATGAGTAAAAAAAATTGTTAATGACCCAAATATGCCTGGAATTAAAGAAAAACTAAAGGAAATTAAATAGATCACATAGGGCAGGCACAGTAAACAAAACCTCCATGAGGTTGCTGCAGTTAATTTCTTTTCAGAGCATTTGAACATTTCAAAAATGAAATGTGATTAAAAATACAGAGGATGAGCAAAATATCTGAATCAGTCATTTCCATGGAGGCTACAGTTCTGCCATGGAACTTAGGGCAGAACCTCCAATCTGCACTGCTACAAGGGACAATGTGACAGTTACTGATGAAAACTTTACCTAATAGCTTCCTGTCTTTACTTAATTGATAGAATAGAATTAGAACATTTCAGTTGGAAGGAAGAACATCTTGTCCAACAGCCACCAACAGGGTGACCAAAAAGTTAAAGCGGGATGTTAAGGGCATTGTCCAAATGCTTCTTAAACACAGGCTTGGGCCATCAACCACCTCTCCAAGATGCCTGTTCCACTGTTTGACTACCCACTTGGTAAATAAAAGCTTTTTAGTGTCCAGTCCAACCTCTCCTCATGAAGTAGCTTTGAACTGCTCCCACATATGCTGTCACTGGACCCCAGGAAGATGAGATCAGCACCTCCCTCTCCACTTCCCCACTTCAGGAATATGTCGAGGTGGCCCCTCAGCCTCCTTTTCTCCAAACCAGACAGCCCCCAGGTCCCTAGCTATTGTCCCTGCACCCTCTCTCCCAATTTATAGTTGGTGCCTGGTGTTTCTCCATCCTGTGTGCAAGAGACCAGCATGTGGATGACATTTATTGACAAAGAAATGCATTTTTTACAGATCTTTACATTAAAGTAATAGTGGGGTTTTTTTAACCAACCAATGTCCCTCACAAAATTCATACTTGTCTGTGCTGCTTTATTAAAGCCTAAGTATTGAAAAAGTAACAGCAGAAAGTGCTAGGCTCATGAGATTTAATTAGAACAGTGTAACAGATTTTGAAGGTTCTGCTGTATTATAAAACTTAGATTTCCCCTGTGAATTATCTGACCCTACATGTAATGAATCTATTTCTTGAATTAAAAACATGCTCATCCAAGAGTTCCAGGACAAATAGAAGATCTATCATTAACAATAAGTAATATTTAATAAACAAGCACACACTCCCTGCCTGGAAATCTACCAAATGTCTCTCTAGGCTCCTGCCTTCCAGCCAAGTAGCTATTTCTGTGGATCTGAACTTAAACTTGTAGACGTAAGTTGTATCACGTAATTGTTGCTGCAGTATCTAAGGCATTACATAACACTCGTGTCTCACAAGTTGGACTTTGTTCCTATGTCAGCAAACTATGAAATGGTTTTTCAGTTCGGTGAGAATGATTTTGAACCATTGGCTATACATTTGATAGCACTATGGCTTGTAGTTTTATTTTTGTTGTACTTATGGAATTTAGGTTGTCATGAATTGTTCAGGCCAGACTCACCACCTCAAATTCAGAACCTTCAGTGACATGTCTAAATTGGGAGCAAAGTTCCATGTGCTTCCAAAATCTATCAATGGAGGGAAACAGCCATTTGTACCTACTGGAGATCTAGCCTACCCTCTGATGAAAATCCTCCTTCAAATGGGAAAGGGAGAGCTTTTTTTAGGAGTTCATTGGGTTTTGGCAATGTTTGTATTGTTTCCCTGCTGAAAGGCAGGTAGCAAATTTTGAACAAAGTCACTAAGCATGTTGTTATATAGAAATATCTTTATTAAGAAAATCTTTAGAAAATCTTCCTGCTCTTATTTTGCATCAACTTTAGCAAATATCTAAATTACAGATCATTATATTTCTAATGGTATTTCTAGCAAAAAAAAAAAAAAAGTGTAACAGCCAGGAAGAAGTAATAACTGCAGCCCATTTACCACCAGGTTAACAGGAAATAAATGTCATTTTACTATTGTTCTCTTGTTACAGAATTTATTGGTGCATTTATGCAGCTCTATTTCATTTGCACATATATGAAGAGCACTGCTGTATAAAATGTAAATAGACTGCATATGGAACTTAAATCTTTCCAATGATAAAATTCCTCAACAGCCTTTTCATTAGAATTACTAAAAATTTTTAAGTCCATGCTTGCTTTTAAATTAAAACACTCTATTTTTATTCAAGCACAGAGCAGGAACAGTTCAGCTGCACTTGCCTGTCAGTTTATTCAAAGAGGGTGCTTACTAATTCATTGATATCCCATTGCCTCAGTAAATAAGGACACAGTCCTACACAACACCCTCCACTTGTCTTTTTATACAACCCCTCCAATTGCTGCTCTGGGGGCAGGGCTCTGCATCTGGACAATCCTCCTTTCCACTCATCACATTCTGTCAATGTGGGAATAGGGTGAAAAGGAGGTTTTGAGTACGTCCTCCAGCCTTCACCTTTTCCTCCTGCATTTTATTGTGACTTTATCTGAAAGCAATCAGGACCAGTAATGCCATCCTTGATTATAACACTTCATTACTGGCATTATTCTGTCAGGAAATGGATGTTCAACTGGGATCACCATTATGCTCCCAAAAGACAGCTCTCAAGTTAGGCCTCCCACCACAGCACTGTGGAAAAACGGTGAAAGCTGAATTATTCTCCAATTTCCTTCTAGGCTAGATCCTCCATCTTCACAGCAAATACCCTGAGCTGTCACAGGTGTTTTAGACACTGTTCTCTGTCTGTAGAGTGCTGTGTCCCTGGGATCCCAGTCAAGGTGAAGACTTTGTCAAGAAAAGCCAAATCTGAAATAAGCTCATAGTCTATATCAGACAGAGCCAGATAGGGAATAGTGGACACGAGGAAAGAAGACCAAGGCAACAAAAATAACTTCAGCAGAGAAGCAAGACCTCAGATGGATCAGAGTCCAGAAAAACAAATGTGTCACTTCACAAAGAAAATTATCATTAAGTAACTGGAACTGCAAATACAGTTCATGGCATACTGTTATTACTCAAGTCAAATCTTTATCATAACAGGATTTTATTTATTCAACATTTATATTTATTACCTTCTCATGAGCTCTTCTTTTTGTTTCAGAGTCCATCCAGTCATTCTCCTTTTCTAACATGTCAATAAAAGCCCAGCGAATTCCTTCAGTCAATTCCTCCATCTGCAAAATATTTAGTAAATCCCTCCCAGTAAAATATATCATGGCAGAATCATTGTAAGGAAAGTTTTGGTGTATATAGGAGCAATAGATTTGTTTAGATCACAAATGATTGTGGCTCAGATGGTATCTGCTGTCCTTTCTGGAAGGACAGCAGAAGGCTAATTGAAGGCTAATTTCTGCTTTCTTCAGTAGTAACACACTTCTTCTGAAGGTAAGGTTTTTTTCCACCTTCTTTCCCTTCTGGCATCACACACCCTGTTCATTGCTGATCACTTCATGTCATATTTGTGAGGATACCCATGTTGAAATCATAAAAAACACTGAGAAATTTGCAGTCCTTTAGGGAGATTTCTGTCCTTTAGGTTCTAGATCACTGGTCCATGCAGAAGGAGCCAGCTGAAAGGCATTGGCACAAATAAAGCCTTTCCTGCAGAGACAATGTCTGTGGCCTGGTTGGGTTTATGTGAGACTGAGACACGCCTTATTAATACTGGCAAAGAACTGAATTTGGGCTGACAGCATCATGTTCCAAATACAAAGCAGTATCCAAATATTTAGCCTGTATTTAGCTGCATTTGTGAAGCATTGCTACCCTTTATTTACTGCAGGGAGGGAGGCCCTGGCTCACACTACTGAGCAGCCTTAGCTGCTTCTGTGGTCCTGGACCATAAATGACAGCTTGGATCTGTGCAAAACTGGGAAAGCCCACAACCACTTCACCTCGGCTGCTTCTTCAGACACCTCTGCAAAGCCAAGACCACATCTCAAGCAAGTAAAAAAAAATAATAATAGGACTGTTCAGTGAGTATACACACTAAGAAAACCCTGAAATGACAAAGACATATAATGGCTAAAATATGCATCATATGAGTCTAAAGAGCCCTCATTCCTATGGATCTGTCTGGCAGCCCAGAAAAGTGCATGCAAGCAGCTGTGTCTGTTTATGTCAGCAGATGAGCCCCACGACAGATAGCCATGGGAATGCTGTGAGAGAGAGGCAATGAGAGGGATCCAACCATTGCCTGAGTCCTTTAGCACAAACCAGACTTGAGACAGCACAAGACATGACAGATACCCATTAGATGAAGACTTATTGGAACTTTGTGGTATCAGTTATGTTACATTTAAAAATAATGAAAATGTCAAGCAGCAGAGATTTGTATAGTCTTATTCTATAAATCTAGTAGATCTGAAATGTCATTAAAAGCAGAGACTAAACCCTCAAAAGTAACATTATTTGTAGCTAAATTGTCATTAATGTATCAGACGAACATTTTAATCTGGACCTGTCCTTTATTTGTGGTGCAGTCAGAAAAAATGCAGCAAAGTTCCTTGGATTATTCATTTTTCCTACCCTTTTCAAAAAACATTTTCTTATTTTTAGAGGCAATATGGGTCTAGCATTAAATATGACTAAAGAGTAAACATCCACAGTAAACTGCATCCCAGGAAATAGGGTAACTTAAAGATATTGATGACAGAGCACTGACTCAATTAACTTCGTTCACTAACGAGGTGAACTCCCTGTATTTGGAGGTTACAAGTTCAAACTCAAGCTCTGCAGCTGGGCCCTGGTGTATACTTAGGCTTTATGCAGCAGCTGTAGCTGCAGGGGGTAGGGGCAGAAACCTATTCCTGCTATCAAAGTTATTACTGAAACTGCTCAGGCGTATCTGTAAAAAACACTGCAGGCACTCTGAGTTAGAAGCAGTGCTATATTTAGACACAAATAATGTCTTTCTTGATAAAAGTATCTAAGGTATAAAACATCAATCACAAAACATGGTGGGGGGAAAGAATCCATATTATCTGTAACTCAGGATTTGCTTATCATAGACAGATATATGCCATAAGCCAGAAAAAAAAAAAAAGAAAAAAAAAGAAAAACCTGTACAAATAGGAGTGCTTTACTCACATGCTTTCTTACTGCCTAAGAAAGAGAAATAGAACTGAAAACCAGTGAAATGAAAATGATAACACCACAAATTATTAAGTTGAAAAGCACACTTCCAAATGAAATGCAACGAATTTCATCTGTATGTAATTTTATCTCCATGGGTTTTCCATTTTAAGACTGAATGTTGTGACCTACACTATGAATTTTATATGCATTTCTCACTATGGGTGCTACTGCAAATTCAGACTTGATAATTTTCCAAAGCTCTAGTTTAAAAGGAATGTGCATACTAAGAAACATTCTAATTAACTTGCATTTCAAGAGAAACTCTGCTCTATCTGCTTCTCATAATTTTTCCTCACATATTCAAATACAAAAAAGTGTCCATCCCCTCCATAAAGTGTACATTTCTTATACTCCTACTCTTCCCACTTATCTGTGCAGGATAACATACTGCATATGCCTGGCATATTTTTGCCACAAAATGGCCAAATAGCACATTACAAACTGGTTAAGAAAAAGGAGATTGAAAAGCTGGATCTCAGAGAGGAAACTCCAGTTGAAGGCAAATATGAAAATAACTGCAGAACCTGAGAGGGAAACAGATGACAAAGATTTGGACAAGTCAAATAAGCATGTGCCTTCTAAAATGGAATCCTTTCCTGAGAAAGCAGTGCAAGCAGATAAAGCCAAAGAGACAAACTCAGCCTACTGAGCCAGGGCAATGCAGGGCTTTCACAGAGCTGCTGCTCCCAGCACAGGCTGCCATCTCATGTTTCCTAAATGGTTGTGCCTCTCCTGCATGGAGAGTTAAGTTCAATGACTAAATGAGTCAATTTAAAACTGATTACTGCTGGAAAATCAATGGCTGTAAAAGCAGATATTGGAAAACTTTATAAGAAAAACATGAACTGAAAAATAAGTCATAAATTATTGTGAAGGGTAATTAATTATTTGAATATTGAACATTTTAGAAGGAGGATGAACATCTCTCTCAACTCAAAGGTATGGAAGAATATTTCCTTCCACTGTTCAGCAGGAATGATTTGAATCATGGATATAAACTCTCACTATGTGAGAGCCTCTCAGCTTCCCTTAATTTGGGCCAGATATCAGTCACATGTTTCTTGCTCCGACTACAGGTGTAGCAGTCACAGCTTTCAAAGAGGAATCCTAAAGCAAAGAAATCTCAACCAGTTTTTTGATTAGTCAGTAAAAACTTTACCATAATAAATTATATTAGCTATACCAAACCACTTCTCATCAATACCCCTCACTCTGTTCCTGCACAGCCTGGCTGTCACTATTTACATAAATTAACAGTGTTCAACCTGTTTTGGACTGGCTGCTTATTTGTCTGTAGCTGCAGATGGAAAGAAGGGGCAGTGCCCAGATGGGTGGAAAGGTAATACTTCTTCAAATTCATTCAATTTTCTCCTAGTGTTTTGGGGGTTTTAAATTCAATGAAAACATTTTCAAGAGTCTTCTGTCTTTTTTAACTTTGTTCTAACATCAGAGGCAGTTTGTGAGCATGAAACCACTAACTGCAAATTTCCAGAGACTACAGAGAACTCACCATCTCTTTCTTGTCCTCTTGAAAATGGGCTTTCACAAACATCTTACCCACAACGTAGGGGAGGGCATTTTCTACAAGGTCCACACATTTATCCCACTGAGGCAGCAAAGTTGTAGTTCCATGAATCACCTGTTGACACGGGCAAGTATTAGACCATAACACCATACTGTTTAAGAGGAATCCACACACAGTATAGGCCAAAGCATATTTGTCAAAAAGCCACCAAAAGGAAACAATAATGATACTCTACAGTTATTTCTATTTTCATCCAATGCTATGACAAATATTTTGAATACCACAAAATACCTGTAAGATTTTTAACTTCAGAACACTACAATGGTAGCAGTGACAGAGAGACTAGGCTTTAAGAATTACTTACTTTGGACTAACCTTGGTATTCTTTCTTTGTGAGAGACAATTTCCTCTAGAAAAACCCTGCTGTGAGATATCTCCTGAAAACATGTGCCTCTCCTCTGACATGGTGAGAAGCCTAGGAAGATTGTCCTCATGAAAATTGGGCTAGTCCTTGTGCAACACCTCCTGCTGAGCCCTCCATTGCCATGAACTAATGACATTTAACACAGATGGGTACACATTCACACCTTCTTGTCATTTTTCTGTCCAACTACTTTTATAGCAGTTTGTGTAAAATAGTAAAATTGCTTTCAGTTCCTTTCCCAAATGGAGCATTTTCAGGAGAAAAGAGGTTTAAATCATCAGGAACGCTGAATATGTTTGTCTCCCCCCAAAAGAATAAAAAATCACTCTATGTTGCAGTAGAAAGATGTTGGTAGAACAACTTGCATGTTTTACTAAAGGAATGGTATTAAATACATATTTTCAGGCTCTGATGATGTCACCATAAATGAACTTCAAAAGAAACAATCAAGAATGGTCAACACAACAAGGAACAAGGCAAAACAGAACTAAGAGTATTTGCTGCCTTGGTTTCTGTTTCTCACAGGAGGAATGTTATTACTGTGAGTACTTAACTAGCCAACATTACATTGGTCATCAAGATGTAGTTTGTGTAAATAAATCCTGTACACAGTATAGAAGGTGGGTCCATGTGAGCAATAAGCAGTGCTGATTTAAGAAAATTTTGTTATTTTCAATGTTCAAAGTGTTCCCTTTCCACTTAAGAAACTTCTTAAGCTTTTCCACAGAGAACAAGCACAATTCCAGTCCAGCAGTTAAGACCTGACAGCTGTGAAAAGGCAGAGTATAGTCAGCATCAAACCAGAGCAGGTAGGATAGGGATTTTGGCCTCTCACAGATTATAAAAGCTTCTTAAGCATCAATTTTGCAGTTTCTGAGCCCTTTCTTTTTCCCATTATTCTCCTCCTTTGAGCACAAGATTAAATGTCCAGCAAAATTAAGGGTTTGGATTTGTCTTTTTCCAATAGGAAAATATTTCATTGGAAAATTCCAGAGCAGCTTAACCCTCAGCTATTGAAGGTGAGATATTTTGGTAGTTCAGAGATTGATTTTCCCTATCATATTGTCTGTAATTAAGCATAATCAATGACTCACACTTAAATACACCAGTGAATTGCATTTCCAAGTGCTTTTTATTAATACTGTATATGCAGTAATAGATTTTCGATGGCGAAGAGTACATTGCTTCTAAAAAGAACCCCTATTAGTCAAACCAAAACACAATAAGGTGATATTTTTTCTAAATAGAGCCAAATTTGACAATCAACTCCTTTTCCAAATTCTTCAACCTTTATACATAACAAAACAAAACACTCAAAAACAAGATAAGAACAAAAGAAAAGAAAATTTCTCTCTGGGGTCAGAGTAAACCTGCAAAGAAGCTTTTTCCTGGTGCAGGGGAGAGAAGGGGAGTTATGGTATTAGTCATCAGAGCTTGAAATTCCTTCCAAAAGCTGTGAGTATGCATCAGCCATAGAAATAGTCAGGAGATAGAGCTGGCTTTTAGACTGTGACATACCATTATTACAACATAATAATTATCATTATTTTGAGGGAGGCTTGACTGTAAGGAGGCTATAAAGGCAGCACAGGCTGTGAGACCAATAAAAATAGAGCTGAGAGGAACAGATTATATCTCGCAGCTGGTTTATTGATATTTATGTCACAACAGCCAACAGGAACTCCCTCAAATGGTCCTCCTAATATTAATGTACCACTCTAAAACACAGTACTTCAGGTAGTAACAGTGGCTATAAATAGCAGGTTTCAAGCCCTCGCAGTCAATTCAGAGCTTCACGACACAATTAGCCAACCTCTTCCCCAGGTGCCACTGCGCATTTACAAGGTCTCAAAGTGCCACTGCAGAGGAGCTGCTGAGAGTTGCTGGTGTGCTACTCAAAGCACTTTCTCTAGAGTCAGCAGGTTTGTCCTATTTCTAAACCTAAAGTTTTTTTTAAAGTGTCATCATGTATTTTTCCTTCTCCTTGCAAAGATTTTAAGGCCCTAGTGCCAAGATTTCTACACACAAGGTATAAAAGCCACCAATAGAAAATAAGAACCTGGTGGAAAAAAATAGTCTGCTTATGATGGTTGAGGCTGACTGAATTAATTAAAAAATGGATGTATAAAATACATACTTTCTTTTAAGGGTCATGGATTTATCTCATGCTTGTGTCTTTTTAGTGGTAATTCAATGGTATTTTAGTGGTAATTCACTTACCTGGCAAGGGATTGGTGGGTCCTTTTTATGATCCTAAGGTGCCTCTAGTTCTCCATCCTCTGACTAGACAGATCCATTCAACAACAGACTAGTCCAATGCCTTGGACTCCATTCCTCATGTCCTTTCTATTGACCTGTGAGGTCTACACCTGTTTACATGGCCAGTATTGTTTAACTATCCATTAAAGACTTGGGGGAAGGGGCAGAGGCCTCCTCAGCAAGTTCACTGAACACAGAGCTGGCAGGAGTGGCTGACAGCCCCAGGGCTGGGCAGCCCTTCAGAAGGGCCTGGACAGGCTGGAGAGATGGGCAGAGGAATGGTCTGAAACTCAGAAAAGGCAAATGCAGGGTCCTGCACTGGGGAAGGACAAGCCCAGGCCCCAGCTCAGGCTGGGGTGACCTGCTGGAAAGCAGCTCTGCAGAGAAGGGCCTGGGGGTCCTGGTGGACAATGAGCTGTCCATGAGCCAGCAGTGCCCTGGGGCCAGGAGGGCCAGTGGGATCCTGGGGTGCATGAGGAACAGCACTGCCAGCAGGTCAGGGAGGGGATCCTGCCCCTCCACCCAGCCCAGTGAGGTGTGTCTGGAGGGCTGTGTCCAGTTCTGGGCTCCTCAGGACAAGAGAGACAGATTACCTGGAGCAGATCCAGTGAAGGGAAACAAGGATGAAGAGACTGGAACATCTCTCTTATGAGGAAAGCCTGAGGGAGCTGGGCCTGTTCAGCCTTGAGAAGAGACAACTGAGAGGGAAGCCCATCACCGTTTAAAAGTATCTGCAGGGGAGATGCCAAGAGGATGGAGCCTTTTGGAGGCTCTTTTCTGTGATGCTGAGCAACAGGACCAGAGGCAGAAATTGATGCACAGGAAGTTCCATGTGAACCTGGGGAAGAACTTCTTCACTGTGAAGGGAACGAGCACTGGCACAGATTGTCCAGAGAGGGTATGAAAAGCCCTTCACAGGAGAAGTTCAAGAATAATCCTTTGCCATATGCTCTGGGATGGCTCTGCTTGAGCAGGGAGGGAGGTTGGACAAAATGATCCCACTGTGGTCCCTTTTAATGTGACCCATTCTGTAATTGTATGACAGCCTTTATGAGATTATTAATAAGCACTGAATCACTTTGAATTCGATTTCTCCCTAAGCTTCTACGTCCCAGAGATGTGATAGCAGCCAGTTACCATATTAAAATGCACAGTACCCAAAGCTTAATGTTTCCTTTCAGGATTTTTTCTGCCATTATATAACTCAGTGTAACACAGTATTATGCTACAGACTGGCTGATAGCCAGCATCAATCTATTTTACCTGACTAGCAAGAAATGTCCCAGGAGGGGACACCTACAAACTTGTCACTGTGGTTCTGACAGCCAGTTTCTCATATTTTACATGAAGGAAATAGCATCTCTAACAAGACTATTTTGAATATGATCTCAGAAGTACAAGAGGCTGCCTTTCCTGTGTAGTTTCCATCAAGCTATTGGAGTTTATTTTTAGGTATATGATCAACTCAGAACTATTCCAGTATTACTCAAAGCAAAACAGTATAGGTTCTTTAATTAGTCACCTGCATGCCTCACCAGGGAGGACAGAACACCCACACCTCCTGCACCATGCCAGCCTCCTGTTGTCAGCCAATTTTCAGAATGGCAAACAAAGTTCAGCATCCCAAGTAGCTCAGACACAAGACAAAGTACCATTCACTTTCAGAATCATCCTTGCTTTATTTAAGGAGCCCTCACACTGCCCACATGATTACCAAGGTGGCTTTCTATTCAGGGTTCATTGAATCAAATGTATGTGTTTTACACAGATGCCCATATCACTGGACAGATTATTAGTTCTGCTCTCACAGCTTGTGGCAGTTTTATCGTTCTTCTGCAACCCCAAGCACCTGATCATCTTCTCTGTAGAAATGGCTGGGTATCCTTGTGCTACAGCTCATGTAATGGCATTAGAACATGGAAGAGCATTGAGCAAGCTTTAAAAACTTGAAATCCTAGACTTCTGTTTTACTAGAGCTGTATTCACAAATAGGCAATCAGTAGTTTTCAAGAAGTATAGATTTTGGTCAAAAGAATTTGGCCTGAATATCACAGCCCACATAACCTAATTTAAGTTTCTGCAAAAGAAGACTAAGTTTTTTTAAAGGGGAGGGTTCAAAACCTCTTTAGCATTATCTAAAAGACTTTTTTTTGTTTTAGTGTCATATAAATGTCTTAGTATCAAACACAAAAATATGTACATCAATTGTTTTAGAAGGTGTCTTCAAAAATAAAAAAAGTTTATTCAAGAAAATTATCCAGCGTGGAAAACATTTTGTGTTTTGCAAAGGTATAAGCAACTATAAGGGAAACCAACAGTGTCAAATTAGGACCCTTGTAAATGCTATGAAAGCATAACTTACCCTAGAAAATTCCAGCCACCGATACTGAAAACGTCTGCTGAGGTTAAATAACCTTGAATAAACCATCCTCCATACCAGGTAATTGGCAAGAGTCCTGTTAAATCAGGCATATTTTTATCAGACATGTAAACACATATGATGTACCACAAAGCACTCACAGAAATAGCTCCACAAACATTTTATCCCAATGGTGGAAACTTCACCTTAAAAATAAATGAGTGATGGTCAAATTGATAAATCTCAATTACACAGAAGAATCTGTATGATTGCAGCCATTTAATATATAATTGCCCCATGATAACCATCTTCTAAAGATTATTTATAACAGGTCCATCACCTAGTACATAATTTTTAGATAGTGTTTTTTTCAAAAGGAAGCTTTCATTTTCCTTAGAAGTAGCAAGAACTGTGTTATAATAATAGTTGCATCAAAGTTCTATCCAGGGATTAAGTGGTTTTTCTTTTGTAGATCAAAGTGAATGTTATCTCCCCTCATTAGTAGGGCACATAAATGGTAACAGAATAGATAAGAGTCCATCCCATATACACTCTCATTATCTCATATTTGTATCTTTCATTAGAAGTTATCAATACGCTTTGAAAACTTCTACTATTCACAAAGTTATTAAAGTATTACCATTCCTATTTTGTCAGATGGATAATTGAAATACCAAAAAAGAGAAGTATCAGTAACAAAAAACTTATAAGAATTGAGGCTGAGAGATCAAGGAAGAGCTTGTTTAAAATTCCCAGGAGATCTGGCATCCATGCTCCTTTTATAAAACTTTGAGCACCTGACTGGAGGATTTATCCAGCCTAGACTGATATCTCTCCATGTACAGCAGAGGCTGTATGAGCTAAAGGTGCATTCTGAAATACACAATTCAACCTCAAACAGTCTCAAACAAATCCAACAATGGCCTACACTTACTGTTCTCACCTTCTTTAATACATGACATATTTTTCAAGGATAGTCATTGCTTCAAAGCTAGGATGTTCAAACGTTATTTGTTCCCCACTGGGATATACACAACATTTTTGATAGGCCATAGACTTCTCTGGAAATAGGAAAATGGCTTCTATGCAAACGAGGGTGCTGTTATGGGCTGTCTGAACAACTCCCCCATCTCTGAAAATCCCATTTCTGCAATCTCCCATTGCCAGAAGTGTGAGGCAATGCAGTTGTTGCTACAGTGTCACTCCATTAGCTTCACTCAGAGACATATCCCAAGCAGCTCCCTCCTCTGAATCATAACAGCTTGGTAACACACTTGTGGGCATGCTGTCTTGACAGCAGCATTTGCTGGAGACATAACTTTTTTGCCTCTAACCAAGCTCCAGTCCACCTACACAAAGGCTTCAGCTCAAGGTGTGTTATTGCATCTCTCACACTGGGTATATTCCCTCTTTTAGTACACATATATATTCTATAGTTCACCTAAATGCCCACAATAATTGCAAAACATATCTGAAAGAGATTTTTTAGCATGCGACATGTACATTTATAAGATAGTACAAGTCACAAAAGCCAAAATAGTTAGCTCTGTTTAGATAATCACACCATTTTAAGACAATGTTTAGGATCATTAAAAATTAATTTCAACCTAAGAAATGCCACAAAGTCCAGATTTTTCCCTTAACAAGTTTCTGACAATGTGGAATTTTCTCACTCAATGACAAGTGAAGCACCCTAAAAGCACTCAGCTCTCACTGTTTTGGTAAATGACCCGAACTCCAGAAACTTCACAACAATCTGCCTCAGATATTTCAGCAGAGCTGAAGAATATCCAGCTGTAGCAACTTCTGTAGCATTTATACAAATCTCACAGATTAAAAGGTTAAAGATTTGCTTCCAATCAAAAGCCTTAGGTAAAATCCTTAGCTAAATAAATCACTATCATGCACTGATTATGTATTACAATTTGGTACTTACTCACAAAACCAAAATCAATTCTGTCTTATGTGTACTTGCTTTCACACAGCAATGTTTGTCCTTACATTTGAGCTGGGGAACCTCTCTCAAAATGGTAGTGAATGAAAGACTGAAATTCATAAAGGCTGGGTCTCAAAATATAACTTATTGAAAGACAGTAATGTCAACAAGAATTCAGAAATGTTTGTGTCAGGTATAAGTAATGAAGGCAGATAACAGTTGCAGGAAATATAATTAATTAGGGATTGTTTTAATTTGGGAAGGAAAAGGCTGACACATGCTAAAACCAAGCTGTCTGATAGCTGTCTGATGAGACAGTAACAATTCCAGCTTGTAACCAAAACAGAATCCACCATGCATTAAACAACAGGGAGGTTCCACTTGAATGCTTAGGAATCGGGGGTGGGAAACAGGTGGAAAGATTGAGGGGGTTTGTTGCCGTGTGTTTGAAGCCCAGTGTGGTTTAGTTTGTTTTTTAAAACAAAATGAAATGTTAATTTATCTGAATTTGTTTACCTATTTGGGGAATGATTATTTTACATGTTGGGCTAACTGTGCAAACTTCAAATCATTTCATTATCTTCAGTTGGCTTAAAAATTGACACTTTTTACTGATAAAGTTACTACAGTGCAGATTTTGGGATGATTTTCATCCTAGTTTCACAAATAAGTTTACTGAGGCTCAGAGAAGTTAATCTCTACACATCAAGCAAAATCCACTACACAAATAAAACATAAAAATCTCTCTGCTCTTTCAATGAGACCAGACTATTTGTTGTTGTAACTTTCAGAAGAGTACACTCTATTTTAACTTCCTGTTAAATGCCTGTTGCAGAAAGTGTAGGCTCACTTTTAACCAGTATGACCCTTGTTGTGACACACACTCCCAAAGGAAGTGGTAGAGAGATTGTTTGCTGGGACAGTTAAAATTATACCAGAACTTATGAATATTTACTAAAGCACTTTCTGTCCTCTCTGAGAATAAAGTAGGTTGCTCATGTAAAATTCTGTGAGTTTGTACCATTTTAATCAACAGACATGGTAGCAATTAAAGAGGACAGATTTAATATGAGATAGGTGGAAAAATTAATTGACATTTTAAGGAAAAGATCTCTCACAAATTTTAGATCTGTTTGAAAATTCTATTCAGAATTGAGTCACGAATCAAATTATAAGTACTGAAAAACTTTTGCCTCTATTGCTAGAGGCACTAATTCAAGGCAAATTATTGTAACTTCTCTGATTTTTCAGATGCAGACTAAGACCAGAAAAGAGATCCAGTGCCTCCCTCCATCTCTGAAAAAAATTCTTCATATGCTATATGAATTAGAGTTCTTCTCAATTAATAGTCCCATATTGAAAGATATGGGAAGATAAGACAAGGGAAAAGGGGCCTGCAAGAAAGCTGGAGAGGGACATTTTACAAGGACATATAGCGACAGACAAGGGGGACTGGCTTTAGACTGAAAAAGGATAGATTTATCATCTATTAGGAGGAAATTATTTACTGTGAGGGAGATGAGGCACTGAGCAAGCTGTCCAGTGAAGCTGTGGATGTCCCACCCCTGGAAGTGTCCAAGGCCAGGCTGCCCTTGCCCTTAAGAGTGGCTCGTCACAATGGGCTCTGAGCAACCCAGCCCAGTGCAAGGTGTCCCTGCCTGTGGCAGGGCTGCTGCAACAAGGTGATCTATAGGGTCCCTTCCAATCCAAACCAATCTATGATTCTATTAAACTAATTATGCATTCTGAGATCTATGAGAACAGCTGCAAGGATCTCCAGAAAGGATGCAATTTAGAGTATCCTATTTATGGCTCTCATAAAGCACCAGCACACTGGTAACAGGGAAGGGATATAAGCTCCTAATTAGTGCCAGAACAGTTCTATCTCCCCCTTCACATGGCACAGCTGTACTGGAGCTCTGCCATGGCTCATTTACATCACAGCTACATACACACACCTCTTCTTCCTGTAATAGAGATAAACCCCATTAAAATGAATTAGTGCACCAAAAAGCTGAAGGAATCCCTGAAGATCTCTTACAAAGTTGTGACTCACTTCAGCACCTGACATGACTAAGGCTAGCTGTCCCCAGGCTGGTGGAAACTCCTGCAGGCCAGTTGCTGAGTTTCTTGGGCAGCTCACTATGGATAGCCCAGCTCCTGGGCTGGAGTCACAGCAGTGCCCTGGCCTGGGGACTTCAGAGTGACCTCTGGACACTGCTGCACCTATTTCAAGCTCCACACAGCAGCTTGATTACATGCAGTTAAGTAAAATTCTGCTAAACTCATGCTACACCATGTCAATGTGCTCTCTTCTGGTAATATTGCCCCATGAATGATTTCTCAATTCAAGATTGCTCAGCAAGTTGTCTGAGGGAAAAAATTTTAATACAAGGATTGTGAGTCTGTACAAGTTAACACCTCCAACACAAAGTGCCTCTGTAGCCAGACTTAATTTTCACTCCATTCTTCCCTCCACCTGAAACAAACTTCATTAAATACTTTACCAGATCACTGGGTAAAATACTGGGGCATGAGCCATCTTTTTGTGACATTTCAAATAGTACCCAGGCTAGAGGGTGTTCATTCAGGAAGAGGACACACAAGGCACTGGAATAAAAGTATAATTTAGGAATAGCCTTGTAACTGAAAAGAATATGAACTTGGTGAAAATACCTGCTTTTTCTAATGACACTCCATCTCCTGAAATGATGAGAAAATAATTCCCATTATGAACGCTGAAGCAAATTTAAAATTTTGAAATGCTTTTCTAGGAATTTCAGGTCTATATATTTACAGTAACAAATCAAATTCATGTTGGTTACATTAAATAAATCAATCTATAAAATGTCATATGGAGAATGACAAATAAGACTACCTAAAAGAAAATATCCTTGTTAAGCTTTCAAAGTTCACACTACAGAGAAATGCTGAGACCTCATTGTTAGGAGTCCACATTGAGATGATTTCCTAATTTTCTCAGGCCAGATAGCAAGGTTACCTCTGGAGCAGACTCTGACATTTTAAGTAATGAACATTATCACCTAATAGATAAACATGATCTTGGTTATCAGGCCTGGGCTGTTTGGATAAATTTTACACACAAGAATTTGAAGCCTGCTTGGGTTCAGTTTAGCACTATTTGCCATTTCTAACATTTTATGATGCAAATTTTTAGAATAAGACTGGGCAGAAAATGCCTAAGCCATTAATACCTATAAAATATGCAGAGTGAATACACTGGAACTGGTTTTGCTCACTCTCTCCCCCTAACCTATGAGGTCAGAAGCCTGGTCTTGAGCTTTGCTAAAGGCAGGCATTGCAATTATTTCTGGTCATTACTCCAGCCTCCTTCTGCCACAACACACTGGCTGGCTTAAATTCTCTTGAATACTCAGATTTTCCTTGAATAAGAAACTAATGGAAAAAGTCTCCAGGTATTTACTCTGCAGTTACAGAATATATTTGCATCTAAGTGTATTTGTAGGCAGGGAATAACTAATTCCCTGTTACCTTGCTAGATATGCATCCTCTAAATCACACATTTATACCCACTGATGTAACAAACTTTGAGTTAGAAAGCAGAGAGAGCCCAAATAATACTTTCTTCAATAGATTAATATTGGCAGCAGTAATGCTACTTATTTGAATCTTTTTAAAGAAAGGATATTTGGTGATCTGTAGGCAAATCAGTAATTTTTATTTTTCTAATTGTTTTATTTGTGTGCTATTTTTACAAGTACTATGAACTAATGCAAGCATTCCATCGCTAGTGACAGAAAGGGACAATATAAGAATAATCTTTGTCCTTTTTTTCCTGAAATACATTTGATTGTGGTCATACTGTACAATCAGAAAAGATTGATATTTGGAGTCAACATCTTAACAAAATTTATTTTCAAGTTCAGTAACATGCCTCAGAGACCAAATTATCACAGAAATCCCTTAGACATCATCAGTAAAGATGTTTCAAATGGGATGTCACTTTTTCATTACTGCCCAAAGCTGTCTTGCTTCCCTGTGCAAAGCACATCTACCCTGTTTAATCTGAGCTACCTGCATTTTACAACTATGTTCTACAGGTGTAAAGGATTTCACAAGATATAAGACCCTATAAAGTAAGAGATGCTGAACGCATCTGGAAAAAGCAGCTTTACTGCTACCTGTGTTAACCATAGAAGAAATGTGTTGAAACTGAAAATTCTCCTGCTGTGCACAAGGTAATATCTAAATCCTCATTCAGACAAAACCAAGCAGACTGTTTGCCTAGAGACTTGATTCCAAGAATAGCTGAAACTCATGAAAAAAATATAGAAAAAGCCCAGCATCTGATGTCCCCCTACAAGTGTGAGTGAAACCATCATAAGATCCTTACTTTTTCCTTTCATTTTCTAGTATCCTGAATAAATCTTTGAAGTACTGGGGAACACGGACAATCACATTTTCTGAAGGACCTATATCTTTAAGCTCGGGATAGAGTTTGGTGTCAATCACCTTCTTGATGTATCCCAGCCAGTCAAACTGCAATGACAAAGAGAAGGCTGGTTAAAGCAGATTATGGGAGAAATTATTTATTAACTAAGGTACACCTTTAAAACTAATAGTTTCCATGCTCTACTTATAAAAAACTTAGAAACTATTGCACTTTGTCATTCCATATGTTTTCAATCCTCATTAAAGTTGGAACTATATTTAAAAGAACATACACTGTAAATGAGCACACACATTCCTAATGATGCTTCTTTAACATGCTGCTCTGAACCCTAAAGAGACAGTTTTAATTATACAGGTCAGATATTAAAAAAAAAAAAAATTCAGTTATTCCCAACCAACCTGTGGAATCATGGCACTAAGCTCCGATATGTTCATTTTATTGTACATCACCTCACTTGTTCGATTTTCATATGGAATCATGATCTGATGAAGAGAAAAAAATGCACAAAACCATCAAAACAAGGTTTATCTTGCAAGGACTCTTATGTCATCACCATCCTTCATAATCCCAGTGCAGAAATATCTCACCACCTGTTTTCCAAGCATTTATGGCATTAACCTCTGTTTCTGAGGATTGCATTTAGCTAGAAGAAATGGAGCATAGTTACTTTTATGTTTAAATTATTACTGGGGAATTTAATGAGCTGCATGTCTTCTTTGGACTTGAGACTGATTTAACTCTGATTATGCTAAGGAAAGACATGTTAATACATAAGAGATAAAAGTACACCTTGAGCATTAATACTTATTCATTCCTTCCTATTGAGTAGAAGCCAACCTCAGATTTAACAGGTCAAATCTGGGGTAGGTGCATCTTCATAACTGAAAGTACATCTCATGTCTTTGAATGTTTTCTTGATAGAGCTTTACTCCACCTGGGGGAAGAGCCAGATACACACAAGTTTCTCTTCATTTCACCCCATCATCCTGATTTCCATAGCAGGACACCTGAGTATATAGGCCAGACATGAATAAAGCATTCCCCAACCAGGCCCCTCATCTGAGTGACCAGAGGAGCCAGATCTCAAGTCACTCTGCAGCATCCAAGGATACAGCAAAAGAAATCCTAAATATGAAGCAAGTCTTTTATAACTGACAGGAAGGACATGCAGACTCCAAGACAGCCCTGTGGTTCATAATAGTAAAACAAACTAAGTACAAGATATAGTTCAAAATTTTCTCAGTGTTCAAGAGAAACAAAAATCCCAGTGGCAATTCCAGCCCTGCTGCAAGGTAAATCCTATACAACAGGCTGTATGTTGGGCAGTGTAAAGGACAGAGACTGACACCAGACTAACCAGACAGCTGGCACTTCAATCAAAATTCTCCAGTAGGTGTTTATGGTTTTAGTATTGCTCAAGCCATAGTGGAAAAAAATTACTTTCTTTTCCCTTTCTGCCAATTTCATTTATCTGAAAAATCTTTAAACACTTCTTGAAGCCATTTACTCCCCTCCTCTCAAAACTTTCCTTCTTCCTCCAGTGATTCAAACTTAATAAAAATCTTTCTCATACACCAACGAGTTCTCCCAAAACATGCCACTCCTTCCTATATCCAAAGTATTCTTGCTACCTCTGCCTGAGCACAGAAACTCTCCATTATGTAGGTGTACTTGAAAAAATGCAGAGGAACACTGGGTACAGTAAAACGTCCAGTGACAAACAGGACTACCTGAATCACAGTAAGATGTTTATATAATCATTATGTTTATTAGGGTTTATGCAACAGTCCATGTCCATTGACTCATGCTTAATATCTGGACAGATGTTAGGAGGATTAATCTTACTAAAAGAACCTGTAATCAAGCATGGATTATTGCATAACGATGTGCATTACTGATGCTGAGGGTTGTTACATGATCCATGTCATCTTACATGGCAGCTTCACTTACATACTTTGTGGATTAATGCTCTGTAAGACTCTGTAAGGAAAGCATTAGAGTTAGAGCTAAGGATACATCTTCTTATGCCATCACTGACAAACAGAACAAATATGTACTGTTTTTCGTGCAAGGGAGTATTTGTGCATTAGTCCATCCATGCTACATAACTGAAAATTAATGTTGGGCTTTGCTCAGAAGTTTAACAAAATTTCGTCCCTTTCAGCAGAGAGGGGGAAGCACTGATTGGCTACTATTGTGGGTGGCCCTCGCTTCTGTACAAACACACCATTAAGAAGCATCCTGTAGACTGCAACAACAGGATCCAGACAAATGAATCTGCTGCATCACCTGTCCCATGCAACAGGCGACCAGCATTTCACAGGGATAGCTTCTTTCCTTGCCAATATGAAGGAATACTCAGCTCAGCTGGCAGTTCTGCAAACCAGCATCAAGTCTGTACCCTTAATTTTGGTGGTTTCCCAACACTGAGGTCAACCCTTCTCTTTAGTTTTAGCAGAGGTTGAAATGATAATGAACTTGCCACTCCCATGAGTGGGATTCCTGCAGTAGCAGGAATCAGAGATATAGAGATGCAAAGACACTCCTTCAACCTGCAATAATCCTGTGGTATAAATGAAACTCCTCTCAAAAATGTCACCAAGTAAATGTCAGAACCAAGCACCAGATTTAAATATGCTTAGCTTTACTAAATTCAGTTGATCCCTTAAATGAAAACATCTACTATCCCAGACTACTTCATGAAAACACTTCAGGAGCTAAGGGTGGTACTGCTGTAAACACCACCTCCCACCACCAAGATCCAATATCCCACCTAAGACTTGCACTGCTTTTAGGCTTTTCCACAGAGAATCAACCCAGTCTGCTTCTTAAACAACAGAGTAATATATTCTCAACACAAGTGCATGGCCAGAGCTCAGATTCCACCCAGTTTCAAAATTATAGAATCACTTAAGTTGGAAAAGACATGTAAGGTCTTGAGTTATGTCATATTTTTCCAGCTGCCTATTGGGCACCAGTGAATTGGCATAGATGAACTTCAGCTGGGATATTGATCTCATCACCTTTTTGGAAGGAGAAGCCCTAATTCTTATGGGACCATCCTCAGGCACTTCCACAGTTTCTAACACATCAACAGCCCCTGTATCTCTGCTGCCATATGGATCTCCATCCCCCACCTCCACTGAGATGACAGACCAAAGGACCTTGCTAATACACCATCCTTTAAACATTGCCATGCCATCCCCAGACTTGCCTCTGGTCAGCCTGGCTGACATTACAATTTAAAACACCGAGGGTATTTGGCTAAGGTTTTTCCACTGAGAATAAAATTTACAGTTTAGCAATTAACTAAGGGAGAAACATTATTCATCCTTTCTTCATCAGGATCTGCTCCTTTCCTTCTGCTTCTAAAATCCCTTTGCTAATGCTGTTGATACAATGGCTTTTCATTTTGAGAAAGGATTATATTAGATTACCAACCTCTGCTATTTTAACTTCCAGTTTTAGAACTGATTTCATATCAGATTCAGCTCGGGAGGCATTTGCACCCAGAAGCACTGCTGTATCAACCATGAACTGCAAAAAGGCATCTCGGTACTGCAAAGAAAGAGAAAGAGTGAAATGACAACAGGATTTGCTCTTGAGCAGAGCTGCAGCAGCAGACCAGGAATGCCCAGCTACAGGAAGGGGTATATTACTTTCATGCCTTAGGAACCAAGTCTGTGCTTTCCTTACCTTGAATGCTAAGCAAGTTAAAAAGGAGAAATAACACTGTAAAAATACCGTGCATGACAGAGATAACTGCTGCAGTTCAGGGAGTAGAAATCTCAGGAAATGCAAATGACAGTTCTGGATTAGACTGACAACTTTCAGCTCTTACAAATGGATTAGACAATGTGTAAAAATGTACACCAGTATTTTAGGCCTACTAATACAGTAACCACCATGGGACAGAAGTACTTGTATACAAGTGTAAGCTTCATTTAGGAAACTTTGCAAGAATGTTTGATAGAAGTGGAGTTTTCTGCTAGATACACTGCAAAACCCAAATCCAAACAAAGCACAGCCCTTTCTCAGTTTGGAGCTCAACAAAACAAAACTAACCATGAAAAAAGATGAGGGGGAAATTGGTGGCTCTATTATCCAGCTGACAGTACTTACAGATTTGGCTTCTGTGGTGTTTTCTAGGTAATCCTCTCGAGATGCCAGAGAGAGGCTTGCTTGATCAAGCTATTAAAAACAACACAAAGTAACATTTAACAGCTAAATTAATCAGATTCAAAGATAAACTGACAAGCAGCTTTGGAAGGGTTCATGTTTTTCTGATAATTACAGTAGTTGTGTGCAAATACCTAACATATAAAACATTGCACCAGTCTGAGTTGGACAGGATTTCAAAACAGGAAAATGCTACACTGTGCTGACAGATATTAACTAAATCACATTACTGTGATCTGGGGACCTCAGATGACACCTGCAATAGCTAAGCCACCTAAAGAAAAGAATCACAGATGTGATTTAGGTGTTTAAAACAGCTACATCAGGGAGTAGGAAATGCAGAAGGACTGGGTCTATAGGACCAAACCACTGGTTCTGATGACCGTGCATCCCCCCTATGCCTATTTCAGGGGTACAAGAGTCAGCTTGGGACCACACCAGTCTAGTTATGCACCAAATGCCCCTGAGGTGCTGGAGCGTGAGAGCTGCTGTCTATCTGGGAGGCATCATCAGGTTTTTGTGACTGAAACTGAGGTCACACTTTTGAGCCTCACCCTAGACCAGCACTGGGGGCTGTACTCTGCTTTTGAACAGATGAACTGAAACTGAAGTGCCCACCAGCCAGGACTGCAGGCACAGGATATTATGTCCCCAGTATTTCAGCTAAAGGTGTCTTGTAGTCCAGATGGATCTTTGGCCTTCACTTACCTTTTCCATCTAAATATGGAGCAAATTTTCTGGTTTACATTCACTCTAATATTGGAATTAGGCCTGAAAGTTTGAGATTTTCATTTAGTGTCTTGAGTGAAACATGGCAATATTTTCATACTGTTTCATTTGAAACACAGGAATTTTTCTAACCAGGAAAAACTCACTATGCAGCATATATTTTATAATAATTACTGGGAACTGAGATTTCCCAGAACTTTTCAATGTGATCAAGTCAGGTTAGGGTGTGGAAGCCAAAGCTGAAAACTCCCATCAACCAGCTTCCAAACTCTGAATAAGATACTGATTGGAGCAGAAACAACTGCTTTGATGTCCTAAATATTTTTGGTTTGATGCTGCAGTAGTTTCTAAAAGATAAGTCTAGTGACTATAGATTCTATTTATTCATACAATTCATATAAGTCTTTTTTAATCCAAATACTTTAGGTTATGTGATTTATATTTCACATTTTCTACATTTAAAAAATAAATAAAACTTAGAATTTAAAGTGAATAAATAAATGTAATCTTTTCCTCTACAAAACAAACCATCCTCAGAAAGGAATAATTGTGATGTTCAGTGCAATTCTCATTCTTTGAAAAAGAGCATCACTTTCTTTTCTCAGCACAATGATGCAAAAAGAATATACTCTTATGCTTTTTGTACATATGTTTTTGCAATAGGTAACTTCTGATTATTTGGGGAATTTCAATTATGTGACTTACATTAAATGCTCATTCAAATTCCCTGGTGTTAAGAATTAGATTTGACAGCACATTGAACCAAGAGAGCACAAATATGAGAAATAAACAATAAAAGTTAACCAACAACTTCAGCACTCATGGAAAAAAAAAAGATAATGTTGAATGCTGAACACAGTTTTATTTGGAGTTTCCACTTCTTTTATGACCCATTCATGATTTTGCAATGCTGAAGAAAAAGAATTTTGCAATAAAGATATTTTCACAAGCAGATTGAAATACTATGTGGTACATCTACGCCCCAGGGAATTTGTAAAAACATGGACAAAGTAGAGCACTGACTGATGCATTCTGCAGATCAAAGTCCTAATCAAACCAGCATCAGAACACCCTACAGAGTAGTGCCTCATTCATAGCATGTCGTGCTTCAGTTAGATTTTGAATTCCTGTGCCCCTAAGCGTAGAGAGTGAAGGTTCTGCTGGTTGTAAATCGTTTCCAAGAGACCAGCAGTGAGGGTGTCCCTGCCCAGCCATTTGCTGACAGGTGACTTGAACTGAAATATGATGACAGGAGACACGGATAAACATCTCCCTGATTCTACAGCTTCAGCTCTTTTGAGTGAGTCTCCAGCTGAAGAAAACCTGACAGGATCTCAACAGCATCAAAGCAGAATGTCACCTTTAATACAGCAAACTGTTGATCTGCTGTTGATTATCTTGGAAAATGTCCTAGAGATGAGGGAAAGTTACCCTTTAACTTTATGCCAGTTAAATGCCTTAGCCAAAAGACATATGGAAGAACTTAGAACTGACATCCACCCCAGTACCACCACAGTTCCTAAATACAATGTATTCTTGGCTACATTCCTACAGCCAGCCAAGATGCTAGCAAAATAAGGATCTTAGATATTTTTTTTTGCTGTAATGAATGCCATCATAACTTTGTTATTTGTTCCTTCTCTCTTGTCTTCATGAACTGTTTTCTTGTAGCCATGGAGGGAAGGTCTGCTCTGGCTTCTCATCTGAAGTTCTTAAACAACAATGCATTTGGCCCAGGCACTCAGTCTTGCCACAGTTATACAATTTTATTTGGAGTTTTGTCAGATGAGAGGGAGGCAACATTTCTTGAGTCTTTTTCTTACTGAACTGTTATTTAATGCCATTCACTGTTAACAATTTTGTAATGTTTTGGTCTAGAAGCAATTTCAAGAAAATTTCAGTTGGTCTAAAAGCAATTTCAGGTCTAAACGCATTTCAGGAAAAATGTGAATTCTCCTATTTCACATTTAAAAAGCACTTGGGATAAATCTGTGTTCTAAGGTGCTGTATAAGCACCAGATTAAGTGTTTCCATCTCAAGAAAAACAGCTCAAGTTCAAAATACCTGCTACTGATGAACCATTTTTCATCCTCACAGGCAAAAAACCTTCTTCATGCAAGCGATGAGTCATAAGCAGCACACAGAATTAGATATTGAGTTCTTATTCTCAAGCACATAGACCCTGGCTATTGGTCTACTGGGAAATTTTTATGGGTTTTTTTCCATTTGAAAGAAGAAAACCTGTACAGAAATGCTTTCCAATAGCATGTGGTTGCTAGTGGCTCCTACATTCCCATAAACTGGCACCTACACACATCTGTAAGCCAGTAGATAATAACAACAACAATCAAATGTAAACATTTGGTATGTAAACATGTTTTTAAAAGAGACCATAAAACAGCATGCAGAGTAACCTGTTAAAAATGCTGTACTGTACCTTCAGGATGTAGCGATGGGAGATTTTGTCATCAGCAGCCACATACAAACGGATGAAGACTGAGCTGCTGTATTGGCCACGAAGAGTTGCCAAGGCTTGGACTAAGCTGAACCTCCTTTCTGACCACAGTCCTTCAGGTCCAATATTGGATTCCAGCACAGGCCAGCGGAAAGGTGAATGCTTCAGGATACTTAACAGGGGTTTCACATCAGCTTTTTCAATTTTCTCTGAAATGTCAAAGTGTGACAACAATTACATTCCAGACAACTCAAGTCCAACAGCAGCCACACAAGACAAGGATTTATTAGCTTCGATTGATTTCCAGGCAAGGCAATCACAATAGTTGAAACTCAAAGCCTCTGCTCTGCCTGTGAGCACAGCAGCACAGAGGTCCAACCCCGTTTATCTGTATCAAGAATAAGAAAGGCAAGTCAGTGCCTTTCCAAAAAGACAAAGGCTGGAATTAGGTAAATTTCAAAAAAATCAAACTACTCCTTGCTTAGGAACTAGCATAGAAATTTCACTGATTTTAGGGAAATATGAGGGGTTATTGTTTATAATCAAAGCTAGAGGGGCAATATCGGTGCACCAAGGCTGTAGAGCAGGCTGCCTCACTTGCTGGTGGTCAGACAGGCCATGCTGGAAGAAAACTGTGCAGGAAATAAATCCTGAAAGAGTCAAAAGAACAAAGGGGACTTCCAAGACTTCTTTGTGCAGCTAAGCAAGAGTAGTGATGCGTCCTGAATTAGTGAACATTACCTTACAGCAGCATGGACAAGCTGAGGAAAAGCACTCTGCAAACACGATTAACTTGCTTGACATACAGATACCACAGCTAAAGAGTCCACCCTGTCTATACCCAGCCCTGGGGTAGTGTTTTGATAAAACAGATTTAGAGAAGTGTAGAAGGTGATGAGCAACAGGGTCTTGAAAATATCAGTATGAGAATTTCATCAGAGAGTTCCTCTGATTTAATAACCCCAGGCACTAACCCCACAACCCTGGGGCACAGTTTAACATCCTTTTGCACAGATAAATATCTCTCCACGGTTCTGACAAGCAGAGGTTTCTCTAAAACTGACTTGTGCCTGAGTATACCTCAGTCCCGATTCACAGCTTCAGAAGTGTAAAAGACCCTCAACCCCAGCTGAATACATATCAGTAAAATCTATGCATCTGCACAAAGCTTCACAGAGCTCTGCAGAGAGACAAAAAGCCTGCCTTTATAAATGCAGGGAATGCATCGATGCCCTCCTCAAATCAATCTACTTACCCTCATTCATGCAGGATGCATAAAGGATCTTGGCCTTCTGTACAGCTTCACTGTCTCGTCTTTTGCTGATGGGTTTCTCTAGCAATGCTGAAAAAACAATTTTTTTCAATACTTTGGAAAATGTAGACAGTTTTCCTGTTTCAGCATTTGGTTTAATCATAGTATTTGTTTAATTAAGTATGAGGCTCCATGTGTACTTTCTTAAGTAGTAGCACAGACATAATTGCAACTTTTTCAATCCCCAATGGGGAAGGATTTTTTTAATTATTTATTTTAAAGAGAACTGATATAAAGCTGAATGACAGATGCAGCTTGTTACTCATACTCACAACCAGCGAGCCTCAGCAAACTGAGGTGACAGGCAGTCATGGGGTGAGGGAGGGAACCAACACACAGAGCAGGGAGTCAGGAATTTTTTCAGCTTCTGGTGCTGGTACATTATGAAATCAGGACCTAAGAGAGAAGGCTACAGGATCCCAGGAGCAAGCTGTAAATCAGGCACGATGCAGCTGCAGATACAAAGTACTGTGGATAAATGTAGAGGCAGCTGAGCTTCAGAGCACAAGCACTTCCACAGCCAGGAGAAACAGGTAACTCTTGAGCACAGCACAGGAACAGGGCTGGCAAACTCTGTGGGACCTCGTCTGGTTTTGCAAGACCCAAGCAAGTCCTGCACAGCCTTACCTGATTGTTACTGGGACCACTGGAAGGAGTGGCTTTGCTGGTATCAAGTCTCTCCTGTTATGTGCTCAGCCAGAGCTAAAAAGCCTCTAAAAATTCAGGACTCCCTTCCCAGCACCAAAGTACCAGCCAGGGCTCTGGGTTTCAAATGAGCAGAGGCAGCACAGTGCAAGTGTGCTGAGAAGCATGGCCCACACAAAAGGGGGAACAAAGAAAACAAGAGTCCAGAGGCCTGTGGGTGCAGAGAACCACTGAGACTCCATAACACCAGCCATGGTGAGGCCAAGCAGCTCCCACAGAGAGCTGGATCAGGGTCAATGCAATGTGATTCTTCTGCCAGGATTGGCTGAGGACATGCAGAATACAGAATAGGTGGTGGCACTGCCATCCAAAAGCAGCACCCTCCTGCAAACCCTGCAGGCTGCTCACTCTGCAGCCCTGCTCTTTCCACCCCACAGTGCCTCCTCTCCAGGGAGGCAAAGGGTGGGTGTGACAGCTGGGTTCTTCAGCTGAGAACAGCCTGGGTTTGCACAGCTTCTCTCAGTACCAGGAGCTCACTGCTTGAAGCAGGATCTTAAGGCAGTTATTTCCCAAAATGTCCTTAGCCTCCTGAGGAACCAGCCGTGTTGCACCTCTTATATAAGCACTCAGGGGACCATAATGCAGACCTCACACTGTTTATTACTTTATTACTCAAGGAATACCATAGTGATGAGCAATGCAACTTTTCTCTCCCTCCGACCCCTTTTCTCCTTAAACAAACAAACAAAAAACCCCATTGCCCAATTCTTTTGCTTAGACCATTAAGAGATTTAATGAGATTATTCTTAGATTTTTCCATAAAAATACTCCTGGAGAGGATAGCTTTTGTTTCAAATCCTTAAATATTTCTCAATTTGCTAAATACAATATAATGCAAATCATCTATATATATATGTTCAGTGTGTACAATTCATAGCAGCATAATCAGACTTGTTCACATTTTTTAAATGGCATTTTGAAAGTAATGATAAATGAATCCTCCATGAAGCTGAGGATGAAAAACTACCCTCCCATTAAAGCCATTACAATAATTTCTCTCTCTGCCAGTGAGCTGTACAACCATGAAATTTTGAAGCTAATAAAATCCAATGGCTAGCGCTCAAGAGAAAAACAGATTATAAGAGCCAATAAAATCAACTCTAGAGATAAAACTGCATCAAATTGTGTTACAATAAGCCCTCGTGTTTTCCCATCAAACCATCTCATTAATGTGACATCTACCCCACCTCACTACTGCAAAGAGTGAGGTGGGGTAGATGCTGCCAACTTGCTCAGAATTCTTTTATGAAAACAATTCTCAGTTCTGATAACATAAAATCCAGTGATCAAATATGAAAGACTCAATAAGATGCTTGAATCCTGTGAACACTGAAATAGGGGGTATGATCCATGGATGGTCTTTAGGCTACGGAGGTTTCCCAGCCTTAACCTCAACTTTTCAGAATGATTTAGAAGCACAAACCTGAAGCACTGCTCACATCCACATGATTTCTACATTAGCTAGTATAAAATCCAAACAGAAGATTTAGAAAATTGTTTCTTATTTAGCTCACAAATACATATGGATTTTATGTGTCCTTGAGTATTTAAATTCTTACAAACGAATAGCAAGAAAAGGCAAGAAGCACAGCGTACTGATCAAAGATACATGTAATTAGTCTGTCTAGAGGTTGCTTATTCATGGGAAGAAAAGCACTACTGTGACTGAAATCAATGTAGGCCCATCAAGCTCTCTTTAAATTAGCAATATTGGGTCCTGTGAGCAGCCTGGCCACAGCTGCAGGTTCTGACAAACCCACTCCACACAGAGCAAATCTGTTTGTGTGGGTTGATGCTCGCTGCTCTCTACAGGGCAGCCTTTGGGAGGGCACCAGCTCAGTCTGCTCTCCCAGGCTCTGCAAGCTGAACAAACCTGCCCCAGGACCATCCCACACTCTCTGAGCAGTGCTTCACCTCCTGACACATGACATGGATTTCAGACTCTCATCTACAGTAAGGGAAATGCCAGCCTGTGACACACAGAGAGCAAATTCAGCCTGGCTGAAAAAATTCACCTGAGCTACAGCTGTCTGGGAGAATGGTCTTTCCACTTTAAAAAACTGTTATAGCTTCAGGTATTTTCTGTTTTGATGCCAAAATGTAAGCAAAACCTATGTTGTCTTTCAAGGCATAGGAAGAGGAAGACCACCAACGATCAGTTAATGTTACACCTCATAAAAAACCACAGATTTTCTGTTTAGTTCTTTACTTTGTATTTTCAAGCTCCAACTCTCATACCTTATTAAGGAATTGTGTGTATTCATACAAATCCACTGAGAAGTTCAGTCTGTTAGCACAGTTCCCTTAAACTTTGACCTAGTTAGGGAGATCAGAGCTACCAACATTTTGACTAAAACAGCACACTTAGCCTGAGAAGGACATTGAGCTTCTTGGAGCTGTCTTGCTTGCTTGCTTGCATTTCATTTTCTTTTTTCAAACTAAAGGTTCTAATTCCTTAAAGCAATTTTCCATTTTAGGACACCATTTTTTTACCTCTAAAGAAGAATTGCTAGGAATAAATAGTTTTGATCAGATTAGGAAATACATATCACGCCAACAAAATCTGCAGAGGTCAAGAAGAAACCACAATCTAAGCTGATTTCCAGGTATCTGAAAAAGCACAGAATTGTTATTAACATCAACCAAAATGTAACAATTTATTGCTGTTACAGAGTTATACCCCTAGCCTGCCTGCAAAGCAGAATATCATAACCAAAAATCACCAGGACAAAGTGAACCAGCATAGCTTAAGCCTGTATAACTGTATATACAGTTTGTATATAACTGTGTAACTGAATATACAGTTTGGATCCTATTTCCTTAGCCAAATACCAAGTATATGTTTGAACAGCTTTTTTAGCAAAACAGTTATTTTTCAGTTACATACTTTCTTCACTTTTAAACTATTTCCAAAGTAATTTTCTTTGGGATAAAAAAGGATCTTTGCCTCTATCACTGACCTCAACACCTCATTGGTTGTATTTCCATATGCACAGGATGCCCAAATGCAAGATTTATGTTTCCCTTCACATAAAACTTAGTTATGGCAAGTGTCAACACCTATTAGCAATTGCACTCCACAGTGCTGTAATAACATAACTCATGTCACTAAGCAGCTACCACTTGCACAGTCAGAAATTGGCTAAAGGTGTTCAAAATATCCTAAACTTCCTGAGGCTGCAAATGGATTCATCATTCACTTTCTTGTATAAAGGAGATGAGGGTGTAGAAGTTCCCATTTCAGTCAAGGTTCTTGAACTTCTGTCACCCCAGGTCAGGCAGGTTTGCATCATTGCACTCCCTGACTCTCATATGAAACACAAAGTCTCAGCATCACCAGCAAAAACCATCCATGGCTGAGAGTGATCTTCATTTGTCTGAGCTGGAGATTCTCAGATATACAGTCAAGGAAAAAAAGGCACAACTGTGGGTGGGGAGCTGGAAGGAAGGAAGAGAGTTATACTGAGCTGCCTTCACATAGTTCTTTTTCAGGGCAATGGGACTAAAAAAAGCCAGCTTCCTGTGGTTCACTACCCTTGAGTAAATAGCAATCATCTGCTGTTAAAAGTGAGAGCAAGGCACATTACAAAGTAAGCTTTGCATGTGTGTTTATTTAACTGCATACTATTCTAAAGCTGCTAAGGATAGTCTTGTGGCTAAGTGTCACCTTTAATCTTACTTTCCATTTCCAGCCCTTGTTGATTTTCCAGCCCACTGTCTTTGGTTTTCTACCATCATATTTTATTTATGGCGGTGAGAAATCCTGTGCCTTTCCTTCTTCTGAATTGGACTGCATGAAAAAGGATAGTAAAGCCAGATTTGCAGAGAAAAGAAACATGCACACCATTCATTCAGATTAGAAATATTGATTCAATGTATCAGTATCCTGATCAGATTGTATATATACTGTACCCTATCAGACAGTTTCCTATATATATGGTTGCATTGAAATCCTGAGAAATACTGTGTTATTCATGAGTTTTATTTCCTATTCTAGAGAGAAAAATAAAAGTTTTCTCTGCATTTTACAACCTTAAATATAGAGAAAGATCTAGTTGCAAAAGACAGTAGCATTTTTCCATTAGTTTTTGTCATTATCCTTTTACAAACATTTGCTCTGTGTGGAAAATGCAAGCTCAAGTGTTTGCACAGTGATATCTGACAATGATCTGAAATATATTATAATGCTTTGTATCTTGAAGAAAAAGAACTCCATGTGCAAACATCCCCCAGGGAATATGCTTGGACTGTAAAAAAAAACCAAAAATTATACAAGAACCCCAAAGGACATCCTATTTCCTGGAAAGTTGTAACCCTGGAGGAGT